AAAGAAGTAAAAAGTGAGAGATAGTGCTGTCTGCTGGAAAATCTGACCCATAGTGCAGACGTTATAAGAACCAGTGTGAGATGAGACTCTCGTTTTGCTGGACGAGTTACATGTATTGATGGAAGTAGCTGGAAGGTCACCGGCAGTCTCTTGCTAAATAGGCGCAGTAGATGAAAGGAGAGAAAAACAAGTGGAAGTGAGTAGAGTATTGGTAACAGGATCGAGAGTGCAGATGATACTCTCCGGCAACCCGTTCCGAGAGGGATTTTGTTTGAGATGCTTTCGACTCAACAGTCTGAACCATAAGGCAATAGGGTATATGGAACACCACTTGAGGGACCTCACCCGGAGACTTTGGCGAAATAGTCTGACCCACAACGCAGTTGGGAGCAATTCCAGATCAGGGATTAGAGTGGAGGTAGCTCCCTGCTCCATAAAACGGAATCGATGTAGCCCAATTCCAAAACACCGTTGCCTTTTGGTCAGGCGTTTTTAACCAAAGGCTTTGGCTGAGGACCCTAGGCATTCCCTTGCGAAGGCCTGGGCAAGCTGACTGTTGCCTGCTCACGAAATAAAATGAAATACACGAAAAACAATTTCTTGATGTTCCAGCCTTCGTCATCATTAAAGGAGAACGAGCGGGGTGGATAGGGGTACGGATGCTACTGCTCAAACCTTCGCGTTTTCTCATTCTCCCTCTTGTGTGTTTCACCCTTATTATCCCGCTCCAAGTTCATTTTTATCCCCCTTGTTTTCCATCTCCCAATTCGCGACTCTCCCCCATCTTGTTTCGATAGTAGCCTATATTTTAGTTTCAACCCAAACGAAATCACAGGGCGTCACTCTGGTCCAGTCAGCAAGTCCAACCAAGAGGACAGTCAGTTCATCTATTTCTATTTGGAGCCATCGATCCTTGCTAAGAATGGCATGCTTCAAAGTGAGCATTCTGTTACAGATTAGCTAACAGTCAGCTCTAGCCTGAACACTTAGGACCTTATCCATCCATATCTGTAGTTGGTCAGAAAGCCGCCTACAAGATCCGAGCTACGTGCTTACTCACCGACCCCCACATGTGATACTTTCTCATTGCACTTGTTAGCTGACGCAACTTTAATTGCCGGTCACACCGGTGTGGGCTGAAGTTGCCCTGGTCAACTGGATGTCAATCAACCGCTGAATGTGCGCTATCAGATTGGCTGGCTCGTTCAAGACTTTGAACTCAAGCGGTGAAAAACGGTGCCTGATGGTCATGCAGCCTAAGCCACCACACATGGTAGCACCGACTCCATGAAAGACCACTTGCACCACCAACTGAACGAGCTCCTTCGTTACAAAACGTACGGATATTGTGCCGCTTACTGGTGATCTGAATGCACAACTTGGAAAACTGTCCACTGATGAGCGGTCAACACGGTGTAGGCTCCCGTAATGATAACGGTGAGTGGTTGCTACACCTATGTGAAGATGCTCGTCCGTTTCTCGTGAGCACTAACTTCAGGCACAGCACCCGCCGGAGGGTGACATAGGGCCCACTATCCTTGGACCATCCATGGACGCAAATCAATCACATTGCGATCAATTACCGCTGAAGAGGCTGCGTCCCAAACTGTCGCTCGATTTGGAGCACGAGCATGGACCCCGATTAGGCACTTAGATGTGCCGAACTGGAGGTGTATTTCAGCGATAGCCCGCAACGAAGCTGTGCACGCATAGATACTTGCCAACTAGCGAAATCAGATGTTCTGAATGAGTACCAGAGTACGCTGGCATCCAGGTTGAGTAAACGCTCACTGAACACAGCTGAAAACCACTGTTCTCACAATCGCCAGACGTTACTATCAGCAGGCGTCTTCATGTGACAAATGGGATTGCGAACCTAGACACTGGGTCTTTACACAGTCTCTAGAACTTCCGGATACTCACCAATATGTTTCGCAGGGAGGCAAACACAGTGAGACACGTAAAGATCTCAGGACAAAATTGCATGCTAGCCTGCAGAGAGAACGATAACTTTTGTGGTCTCATCGTGTATCGGAGATAGAAACAACCGCTGCCATTGGTATCAATCCCATTCCATTTGATACTGAAAACTGGCAGCAGAAGACTTGGTGTTACCGAGACGATACGCGAAGAGCACGGATGACCAACTCACAAGTTGTCACAACACTTGGAGCTTTGGGCCGAACACAGGGAAAAACAATTTAATTAAGCTGAGCTATCATCTTCCTTTTCGGGCATGGATTGCCCTTCACTAAGGGCTATTCCCTTTGACGCACAGAAGTCGAGGTGAAATCAAACTGCTGAAATTGAGTTAGGCCGCAGGAGCAGATAGACTTTCTCTAGCCTTTTTCAAATTCGGGAGACTGGCCGGTATGGATGATTTGCACAACTTAATACTAATACTGTGGAAGCAGGAGATTGTCCCAGCAGACTGGGGCCGCTTCGCAAGAGAGGCTCAAGTTCTAAAGGAGCCATCATAGAGGAAGTGGTCTGATCCCAATTGCCACTAAATTACTAACATCTGTCGTTCTTCACAGAATGGCTAGCACCCGTGAAAGCCAGATGGGTGAAGAACAAGCTCGGTTTCGTCGAAATCGGCTGCACTGCCGCAACTTTACATTACGTCACTTGTTGAAATACCACATTTATTTGCGAAGCACTGTAGTCGCGATTCTCGACTGTAAAGTGCATTCGATTCGATTTGTACTTTGAAACTGTCTGCTTAGTAAGGTGTGCCTCGCAAACATGTTAACATTATCAGAGCACCGTGCGCGCATAATTCGAACAGAGTGATGGTTTATGGAAAACTGTGACCGCTACTTAATATCACCAGCGGTGTGATACAAGGTTGCCCACTGTAACCTTTCCTCTGCAAACTTCGACATTGATGAAAGCATAGGAACGTCATACGCTGGACATTACCTAAACGGTGTGGAGCAGCCTCCTGGTGAGTGACTTTTGACGTGGAGTATGCCGACGACATTGCCTTTATCTGCGATAACTTCCAAACGAGCCACGCAGCACTGGACAGTTTAGTACTGGCTATCTGTCGCTTCAGACATGCTTTGCACAGTCGAGATGCAAAGTCTTCCTCCAGGGACTCATCCCGGCGCCCAGCCTTGGTGGTGGTCGGCTAGAAGTCATCGAGAAATTTAGGTGTCCTGGGAGCTACATCAGCACCAGTAGAAAGGAAGATGAGATCACAAACCGCATTGTAAAAGTTCGGGGCGCTTGTGCCAATCTCCGCCACTAATGGCGCCGCGGCGCGACATTAATATAGCCCTGAAGGATAGAATTTACTATGCAGCAGTACGTTCGACCTTCCTGTACAGTTGCGAAACCTGGCCCACCAGGTTTATTACGTTCGAGAATTGCTACCTTCACAGCTTAGCTCATGTCTGGTGGAACAATGAACGTGATCGCCATCTCGTATTTGATGCAGGAAGAGCGAGTGAACCGCTCAGCGCCATTATGCCATTCACCAGGTCACGTGTTGCGCTTGCTAGCACACCGACTCCAGCGACGTGCATGGTTTGCGTGATCGGAGTGTAGATGGAACAGGAGGGGAAGCCGTGATGAATGGAAACCCACACTTCGAAGTTGGCATCGGTTGGTGTCTCCCGACTGTCGCGCTAAGGGGTTAGTAGGACGATAAACACGTCTGATTGGATACACTTGTTAACATGGCGAAGAGCCGACCTCAATTGACATTTGTGTAGTTAGTTTCTTTATCCCGCCCCCTCCAACCAAGATCTCATGTCCAATGCGTAGCATGCATTATCTTTCGTCATTTTATTGATTTTAGTATGCTATAATATTTGGTATCTTATCTTTATGTATTGCAGCACATTAGCTGAGGTGTGTACCACACCCCCAGCTACCGTTTATTTATGATGATGATGATCATGGTGCTCTCTCAACGTCAGAGACAAAGCGTGGTGTTCGTGCTCTACGCTAATGGAGCTGTGAGCTTATAACCCATAGACCTGTTGTCTCCCATGGCTAGTTTTTAAAGGAAGAAAAGCATCCATCTCTCACTAACCTCCGAAGAGGAGTGAAATGAGACGGAGTTAGTCCAACCCCAAACCACTGATGTGTCTGGTACGAGTGGCTCCGAAAGCATTTGGAAAATGCCATCCGGCGTAGCTCATTGGGTTAGGGAGGTACGCAAACCATCGCACCACGTTAAGGTCTAGTGTCGTCGCGATGGGTTCATAAATTAGGAATTTTCACAAGCAACAATGTTCACAATAAGGCATGCCATGATGTCGGGCAGATGCAGACGATACAGTCAGGTGGCAGTAGGAAGGGGTGAATGACTGATGTAGCTATAGACTACTTTAGGGATAAACTGAACAACATTGATGAAATGACTTGAAAACTGGTTAGGGAAGAATACAGATTAGCAAAAGCGGATATTGATTTAACTGGAACGTGAAGTCTGTAACGATCACAGCATAAGTTCCATGCGATGTGTTTTGGAAGTAACCTTCCGTTTGTGAGGTCACTACGAAAAGAGTTGATGAAGCGAGTGAGTGAATTGAAAATGCAGGACATTCACCCTAGCTTACGTGTTTGCCGACAGATCGAAGTTGACTGCAATCGAGCAGGATGGACGAAGCAAGAGTGCTTCGTTCAGGAGCGAACGATGTATGACACCCCTGCAATTGAGGATGAAGCTGCTAAGCGAAAATATCAACGGTGAGAGGGCAAATAAGGTCAAACGAAAGCGAACCGAGGACCGACTACAGAAGCCTGAAAAGAAAATGAGAAAATATTGCCGGTTCCTACATAGTTGTGCAACGTGTAAATACACAGGAATTGTGATTGCAGAGGAGTACTAGGGGGAGTGGAATGGTATACGCTTACCACGTCTTATGATCTAATGATGATATCATGGAGGCTTCAAAGTAGCTAAATTGTGTTTGGCTGTCCGTAAAGCCAGACTACTCAAGCCTGGTTAGATAAATTTGGAGAAAAAAAGAAAAACCAGCAAATATGTCAAATACCCGACTGATTTATTCAGGATGCGGTTCATCATACGTGTGTGGTATACAATCAGAAGTGAAGCCTTATTGCGAAGCTCGTATTGTGCGAGATTATGAAATTAAATAACGAGAGAAGCACAATAGGCAGAGAGGGTCGATCACCTCGGTTAGTGAAGATACCTGGTACAGCGCGACTCATCGGGATTCAAGAAAGCAAAAGGTTCATATATATCCAGGTTTCAAGAATCGGTGAAATCTCATGCAAAATTGGCGAAAACTGTGCTTGTTTAAACGAGCGTAAAAACAACACCGGGATAAGATAACTACAAATAAAACAGTACATTGAAAAAGTTGAGCAGTGTGAAAACGGAAAAGAGTCCAGATTAATGGCACCGTTCAAATCATATGAACAACCAGTAATATCATTTGAGGAAAAATTAGGCGGGTATTAGGGGTTGCGTCATGACAAGTTACGTGAAAGCTGGAAAGAAAAGCATGGGTATTAGAAAAAATGTTGCACTGTTAACGAGTACTGGAAGCGGAACAAGTAGGTGGGGTGTGTAGACGCAAAAGTGGGTATGATGCGATTGCGCAAACAGAATGATTTATGCACAGGAATAGGCCAAGTAAATTGATGAGAAGACTTGTAAGCTACCAGTCACCGACGAAATAAATGTGTAGATTAGAAAGTGTGTGTGGATGAGAAAGAGCGAAGGCATAGAGCTGACTGAAAGGTGAGAACGGAGAAGCGATGCACATATGGTAACGGAATGGGTCAAGAGTAGTCAGTTCGGCGAACATCAAAAATTATGCGGTCAAATCGGCGTCCAAATATCGCTTAGCTACGACAGCCAAAGCACTTGTGCCGATTGGGTCAATCTCTCGGTATTCTATTTTATAATCATCAACGGCAGGGACTCGGTTAGGACATGTATCCGAACCATTACAGGGTACTCTAGTGTCGACAGGTTGTTTGTAGAGTGGAATATCGGTAGTTAATCTACCGGTGGAAACGGAAGAACGTGAATGAGCATTGGAAGGAAGTGCACCCAAATCCAAGTTGCATGGCTCGATGTAATTCAAAGATGGCGCGGCTTGGCTTGATCCAGTGAGAATTGGCTCACAGGTAATCTGAGATGGGGGATGAAAATGATGTAAAAGAGGATATTCTCAAAGGGAATGTCTGGTCTCATAATGTGGAAGGTAGTCCCTGACAAGATACTACTATGACATCAATAATATGCTCGTAGATTCTGACATTAAACAGACATCATGGGGATAGCTTAACAGAGCAGAAAGCACTATGAAATATGTAGTCTGGTTCCGATGAGGTTGAACTATGCAGTATGGAGCCTGCCAGTTAGATAGTTGTCATACACCAGGCGCAGTTTAATGGTAGACAGTGTCTAGATAGCGGAGTGTGCAAATGGGACGAGGAATAATGATCATGTTGGCGAGATAATGATCCGAAAGACCCAACTGCGCATTGACAAAGTAAAGGGGTAAGGCCAAAATGTATCAAAAAGAAGTTGTGACGGAACTAGAATAGTGCAACTATTCACCGATAACAAGTGGATGGAAGAGCGTTAGTGGACATCATTAAACAACAATTGGAGTATAATTTACTTCAAGTAAGTGGCCCAGAAGCATGCTTTTGACACACAAACGGAGCGGTTTTGACACTCAAACACAATACGGTAGCCACTGTGCAACGGATGCTCAACAATGAAATGGACGACATTCGATTCACTAGGTGAGTAAAAGATAGGTAACTAATATCTTTGAATGGTGGGTTGCAAATCCCAACTCACAGGAGTGAGAGAGAGATACAAACCAAATCTTGAACTTCGAAAGTATGTGCCACGAAACGAACATCGTATGGACACTATTTCGCAGAGCAAAATTATACTGCACTTCTTTGGAGCGAAGAGGTAGGGCTCATCTTCAGACAGTTCCACACTAAGGCGGCTAGACCATCAACACCGAGCCCATGCCAACGGGAAGAAACGAGTCCCTCCACCGCATATGAAAAGCATGGGCAAGATCCAATATACATCTAGTAACCAAAGTGCTTAAACCACGCCGTTCCACAATAATTCATAAATCAAAGCCATAGTGAAAACCAGGAGCACGCACACGGCGAAAGGTGGCATATGTATGAGGCACATTGCAGCTGGACAGACCAGTCGTAGCTTCACAAGGTTATATATCAAGGGGACCACCCTTAGTTCAGTGGTACCTATAACATATGTCCTATTTCGTCACGTTTCAATTTGATAGTGGATTTCATTTCCATTCACTGTCATCAATCTTGGTTCATCGAAAGCTGCAACACTATGACCTCTGGAATTATTGGCGTGTGACAACAAAGGCGAATAGCGGGAACTGAGGAAGGCTTGCTGACCTCATCCTTGACGGCCGGAGAAATCAGTGCACAGGTCAACATTTTGCAAGCCGTTACATTCGTGGCCGAAAGTTGGCGAAAAATGAGCAGTGCGACAATTCGGAACTGTTTTTCTCACTGTGGCTTTAAGCATATTGTCACGGAGATGGATGTGAATATGGTGATTGTAAATGAAAATGACAGCGAGAATGTGGAGCTGAAATAAGTTGAAAATTACGAAAAATTTTTGTCAATCGACAACGAACTTCAACTCTATGATGGAAATGAAGAATGCGATGCTGCCATTGTTGCTCGAATAGCAGCGAAACACACGACAGCAACAGAAGACCATGGAAGTGATGAAGAGAACCCTAACGTGTTGATGCCAGTCACAAAACAGGATGCAAGGAAATGCATTGAAACATTGCACCGCTATTTCATGCAGGAAGGAAATGAAGGTAGTCCTATTACTGCGTTACATGTTTGTGGTGATTTTGTGCGAATGCAGTCTGTTAAAAGAATGCGTCAAACCACACTGGATACAGTCTACAAACGCTGAATGGAATTCGGTAATCCCTTGGTATAAAACTGTACTTCGCATGCTGAATATCTTGTAGGTCGTTACGAAGAATTTGTTTGTAAATTTCTTTTTCAGTGAACAAAGTTCGTTATCAAAGCAGTTCTTTTTTGTATGTTTGCTATAAATATATGCCGCCAATACAGGTCATAATAGTAGTTTCCTATGTTATGTATAGCACGTCCCATCTTGTTACATCGGGTAACTTCGGTTAATCGGACCAGCCGCTTAATAGGACCAAAATGGTCTGGTCCCGAGGTGGTCCGATTAACCGGAATCGACTGTATATATATATTTACCTAGCTTATCAGACCAATCCGTGAATACGCGCCCAAGCTTACTATCCGATAACCCGATGGGAAACGGAAAAGTTGGAGAAAATGCAGCACATCGTAACTAGAATGATTCAAGGTCTACGAAAGATTTCGTAAGAAAAACGTTTTGTAAGGTTCGGACACTACATACTGTCCTAGCACCGAGTAGAAGTCGACCTTATCATGATCCGTCGAATATTTCACCTGAATCACATCCTTATAAAGCGGCTAATATTCCACCTGCTGGAACGCTGTAACACTCGAGGACACCGCAATAAACTCAGGGTCCTATGTATGAACAGAGGATCACATCAAGTTTGTATAGAACGAAGAATCGTAAACTTATGGAATACACTACCGGTAGGACTAATAGAGGACGATTCTGTAGTGTTTCAAAACACGTATGGACGATTACTTCGGAAACTTGTGCATTTGTGGAACAGTGTACATACAATGTAAAAAAAATACATTCTATACCCGGAAATAATGAAACTAATATGAACTCCTAACCGAACAAGGATAAACGCTTAAGTGACCAAAAACTAATGCTGACAATCCGCAATTAAATGTTTTTGATTTATAATAATTGGATAGAGTTGTACAGAAACATTTCTACTTACTCTTAAATACAGTCTCAGTCTAATCTGTCCGCCTAAAGCGGTAAGCATTCGAATTATAGTCATGTGGATGAATCAAAGCCCTACTTAGAAGCGGTAGATAGGTGATTAAGGTCTTTGTGGTATTAGCAATCTCGGCACTGACATGCAAGCGGTGATAAGTAAAAAAAAGCAAATAACCAGCTGTACGCCGTAACGGCGCTTCGCTGCCACGCGAGCACCACCAGTCGCGCGTGGGCAGAGTATACCGTGAGGACGCCCGCCCCTACGCGGATTCAAACCGGTGACCTTATGGTTGCAAACCAGACGCGCATACCACTCGGCCACCGGCCGACGGTGACAAGGCAAAGGCACCGTAACCCAAGAAAGATGCCCACAATTCACTGAGGACATACAAGGATGACTATGATGGGAGGTGCAGGCAAAGGGGTGCTAACATTCATTGCGACCACAGGCTAGGCAATGCTGGTGCCCGTTATTCAGCGTCCACTAATACATCGACAGATTTGTCTAAGTCGTTGCATCGGTTCGAATTGAATACGCTAGGCTGTGCATGCTCTAGGCAGGCAACTGATTGCTACCGTGTATGGTCTGCTTGACGAGAACGCGTTTGCTAAGAAGAGGCGTCCGGGGAGACAAACGAGGAAGAAGGTAAAAAAAAGTCGATCCGAAACATAAGTCGCGATGGTGGACGAATAACATTGCTGTAGTGAGGTATAATCCGAAATTGCGAAATCCATGAGTCGACAGCTCTCCTTCACCATCCAGCCGCTCATTCCAAAGCGTTGGTGCTGCAGGTCGGTGATTCCGTCGTTTGCTTGCTTTCAATCTTAGTTCGTTCAAGCATTTCCATGCCAATGCAATAAGCTGTTGCAGATTGTCAGCCATACTACACAGTAGTAGCTACAGTTGGTAAACTAGACTATTAGCGTTCGATGAGTGCAGGTTGCCTTTGAGTATGAGGCAAATGTAAAAGACGGCAGGGTTGCGTAGCGCCTCTGATGCAACTGTGGATCTCAAACCGTCAAGTCCATACAATTGTATCCGTGACCAGGTAGCCTGTGGCCTCTTCTTTGTCGTATGTAAGTTGCGTTTGTTTTAATACCACCTATTACAAGCGATCGGTTGGACGCCAAACCTTACGAGTCTATGAAATTTATATAATTGATAAGAGAGGAAATAATCAGATGATCGCAAACAAAGATAGGGCATGCGTGGGTACGAAACACCTACCTGGCTGCACTGTGACGACGAACCCGGTCACATCAACCAAATATCGAACCCAATCGGACATATTTTGCGCACTCGGAGCGGAGAAGTAATAAACTCGTTTTTGTCCATTGTGAACCGTTTGCACGGAAAATACATTGGGCCATTTTTCGTCTGAATTGTCATCATCGATGATGCAATCGCAGTTCTTCAAGTCGACCTGACCTGTTCAAATAACGAACACAGACTCTCACTGAAAACCAAAGGCATCATCATCACCACTACACGTCAGCGGAAGGTGAGTAAAACACAGCAACTATCGTGACGCAATAAAAGACATTAAAGATACGAAAAAGCGAGATAGTAAACAGGATAGATTACAGAGAAAACAGGTAAAAGCAGCTTAGTAACACATAATGCTTCAAGACTGAGATCGTGGTCATAGGGTGAAGCCGGATGGGAAGACACAAAGAAACTTAAAACACAAACTCCAATGAGCTCGGCCCCTTACTATGTTAACTAGTGTATCTAACCAACGAGTTCATCGTCCATCGGTCCCCAGCCCAACAGTCGGGAGACAGCAACCGACGCCAATTTCGAGGTGACGGACTTGATTATTCTTGATCAAATCATCGCTTGCCCCCCGCTTTTCTTCCAGCCACACCTATGGCAGACAAACAACGCACGTCGCGGAAGTTGGTGTACTGGCAAATGCAAAAGGTGGCCAAGCCATCAGAGCCTGGTGCATGAAATAACGGGACTGAGCGGTTCACTCGCTCTTCCTGTACCAAGTACAAGACGCCGAACACGCTCATTGCTCACGCGGTGCTCCCATCAGTCATGAGCTAAACTGCGAAGGCAGCGATGATCGAACGTGAGTAGCCTCTTTAGGTCTGTTGACGTGATGGGCCGGGTTTCGCAACCATATAGGAGGGTTGATTGGACAGCCGCATTGTAAACTCTGCCCTTCAGGGTGAGAGTAATGTCGTGCCGGCGCCACAGGTGGTGGAGATTGACAAAAGCGACTCTAACATCTGCTATCCGGTTTGTGATCTCATATTCCATGGCACTGGCGCTGATATGGCTGCCTAGATGCTTGAATTTTCCGACGACTTCTAGCTGATCACCACCAAGGGTCAGTGCGGTGCAAGGTTCTTGCCAATCTTGGAGAACTTTGCATTTTGAAAGTGCAAGACATAGCTCGAAACGACTGAGAGCCAGTGCTTACTTTTCCAGTGTTACTTGGTACGTTTGGAGCTGCCATAGCTTCACAGCTTGCAGGTCGCGTCCAGTGAATGCAGTCTCCATGACTTCGTCGATGGAAAGATAAAATGGAAAGGTGACAGCTGGTGTTCTTTTTTCACACCGCTGGAGGTACTGAAGGGCGGCGAAAGTTTGCCGTTAACCAATAACCCTGCTCGAAGTATGCGCGTACCCCGCTCTGATAATTACGTTGTTGTTCGAGCACACTATTCTTGAGTAAATAGTCCCAAAGCGCACATGGACCAACCTAATAGAATGCACCTTTGATGTCGAGGAACGCGACTACGGTGGCTCGCCGAGAAATATGACACTGCTTCAACAATTGACGCAATGTGAAGATGTGAACAATACAGCCACGACTGCAACGAAACCTGACTTGCTCCTCGCAAATTCGGCTTTCACGAGTGCCAATGTAGAACGACAGAGGCGAGTATCTTAGAGTTAACTAAGAGCAGACTGATCCCTATATGATGGTCGCATTTGGAACGTGAGCCCCCTTTGAAAATCGGGACTATAACGGAGCTGCTCTAGTCAACCGGGACAGTCTCCTGCTCCCACAGCTTCACTAGTAACTTGTGCAGATCACCTACAATAGCAGGGCCCTCGAATTTGAAAAGAGCTGGAGGAATTATGCTCGCTCCTGCGGCCTTATTCACTTTCAACAGTCTGATCTCACGTTCCACTTCACGTGGAAGCGTGTCCTAAAGAGCAGACAAGGGAGCATGGCGATCATTGGCCGATGGCGAAGCTTGCAATACTAATTGATTAAGCTGCTTTTCAGTCTAAGACTCTACAATTTAAGAGTTTTCAGCAACTGTGGATTGGCCGTCCATCCTCCTCACGCATGGTTTAGCTAACACCCGGTATCCTTCCGCCCGTTTCGCGTATCAGACGAAATACCTTCGATGGTTACCAAAGGCAGCGGCTGTTTCTATCTCCGATGCACGATGAGACCACCAGGCTTCGCGGTCTCTCTTCAGGCTAGCACACGGTCTTTGTTAGTCTTATTGTGTTCGCTCGCGGCCGGAATGTGTAAGTGAGCATCCGAAAATTCTAGAGAATGCATGGAAATAAAATATCTAGGTTGGCAATTTGATTTGCCACAGGAAGATACGCCCGATGTTAATAACGACTGGTGGATATGCGACCTGTGGCCCTCGACTGTGGTCAGTCAGCGCCTACACAGCTCGGGCGCAAGCGTACTTTGATACGCATTCAGAACATCTGACTTTGCCACTTGGCAAGTATCCATGCTTCACAGTGCCGTTGGAACGCACCCGCAGGTCTGCGCAGACAAGCGAGTGGTCAGAACCCACGCTCGGACGCTAAATCGAGCGATAGTTTGGAATGCATCCCCTCTATCGGTAACTGATCGTGATGTGATCGATTTGCGTCCATGGCTGGTGCGAGGCTGGTGGGCTCCATGTTACCTTCCGGCAAGTGCTGTGTCAAAAGTTAATGCTCGCGAGAAAGGGACGGGCATCTTCCCATAGGTGTGGCAACCGCTCGCCATTATCATTCAGGGAGCGTACACCGTGTTGGCCGCCCAAATGCAGCTCATCAGTGGACAATTTCCCAACCTGTGCCATCAGATCACCAGCAAGCACCACAGTATCCGTACTTTTTGTGTAACGAAGGACCGCGTTCAATTGGTGGTAGAAGTCGTCTTTCACCGAGTTAGTGCTACAATTTGTGGGCGCATAGGCCGCGGTGACAAACAAGCACCGTTCGTCCCCACGAAATTTCGATTATCCGAACGAACCAGCCAAGCTGATAGCGCACATTCGGCCGTTCATTGGCATCCAATCAATCAGGCTAGCTTCAGCCCGGAGACTCGGAGCAATGCACACACCGGCTTGACCAGAATTTGAAGCCGATTCATCTCCGGACAAGCGTAATGAGAAAATGCCGGAAGTGCCGCATGTAGCAGGACGCAAGTTAATGATCATAGAACTCGGAACTTGCATGCAAGTTTCTGATAAGCAGCAGATATCGATTGATAGTGTTCCCAGTGTTCGGGTAAGTGCTGCGAGCCTCCACTACTTCTGTTATACTTACTTCGACCAGGTCAATTCCTAGTTCGCTTCATCGTTCCAATGCACTTTGTCGACAGAGTTGGCAAATGATTTCATCGATTAGCACTCGAGAAGTTCTCCCTTCGGTTTGACAAGTTTGTGATGATGCCCCGCGCACTGGGCTTTCGTTTGATTGATCCGGTGTCGTCGGGTTCGATAGGACAGTATCCGCGCACTTAATCACAACGTGGGAACGACTGTGTACAACGTTCAGCCGTCCCTACTTCAGGGACCGGGAGAATCACTCTAGCCGTCACCGAGCTCATTTGAATCAGACGGGTTAGTAAACGCAGGCTGTTGTACTGTCGCATAAGTTCACTTTCCTGTTTCTCACATTTATCCCCTACTTTTCTTGCACACCTGATTAACTTTCTCTATACCCTGTGCCATTTTGAACAGCGTTGTTTTTTGCGCTGTTTTAATGGGCTTCATAATTAAACCAACGAGTTTGAGCGGCCTATCTAAGTGTGTGATTGCGATGGACAGAGCAATCTTGCAGGTATGCAAGAGACGCGAATTCTCGCAGATTCAGCATCTTCATAGCAGGCGGCGGATCAAATTACGACTTCTCATATTTTACTCACTGTTCGTACCCAGCTTCACATCACTTGTTCCTCCCTACGCAGATTGATGAACGAGCCGACGTCGCCTGCGTTCACTTCCTGCGCAAAACATACAGGGCTACAACTAAATGCTTGCACTGACAACCCTTAAGCGACAATGTGAGCGCGAGCGTTTGACCCCGGCAGGTCGGTTGATCTTTACGACCTTCACGTGACCGGAAACATACATGTGAAGTGTCGGGACGTCTGAAGTGGCTCAGAACATACTAAATTAACTGAGATAGATTGAAGATGTGGACAGTGCAGCGTTGACGTGGATGAAACTAAGCTTGGTATCTATGAAGTTGGCTTTTACGAGCGCCTATCAATCTACGAGGGATGAGACAAGCAATTAGATAAAAGGAAACTGTGTTCAAACTGGTTCCTTTATAGAGAAGTAGTAGGGGGGAGTTGTATTGTATAGGCAGAAATTCGTCACATCTAGACTCACTCAGACAGCCATCACACGCCCGGAAAGGCACTGTACGGCCGTTTCACCCTTTCGGGAATCATCAGCAATGCGCATTCCAGCTGACCCTGGCAATGACAACACATCCACTGACACCGTTTTGGCGATCAGGGAGCTGTTGACCAAGAAATAAATTTCAACCTTGCCAGAGATTGCATATAACCCAGACCTGTCTCCATGCGAGTTTTCTCTGGTCCGCGGCAAGAGACTGTCATGAAAGAAGGTCATTTTCAGGTTGTCGCGGCCACAGCCGACGCCACAACGAGGTATCTTCGAAACATCCCAGAGAAGGAGCTCCAAGTGACGCACGAACAATAAGAAGAACGTTGGCAGCGTTGTGTGACCTCACAAGGGTCCAAATTTGAAGATTTTTCTATGTAAGTCATGTTATCTGTAATAAATTGACTTTGCTAGTATCAATCCAATTACTTTCAGGTCAAACCACGCATAACGAAGCATCTCCAGTTGGTAAGGACAATTTGTTGCTTCCAGTTCACTAATAAATCGTGGAAATTACTTATGAGAGCAGATTCGCACACCGTTTTTTTCATGTAATCAGTCCGATTTAATGTTTCACATATGCAGGAGGAAAGATACATAGGGCGATCAGTGGTCGGAGAGGAAGCAGACAACGCTAAACGATTAAATTGCTTGTCCGGCGAGTAACACATAATATCCAGCTGAGACATCAGTTACGGTCCTGGTTCTCGATTAGATCAAGGTTCCGTTCAAAGAGAACCGCGGTCCACATTGAGATCAGGTGTCGCAAAACATCTACACGAGTGCCTTAAAATTAGCTCTCCGACCAGACAATAA